CCGGAGAGAGGATCCCGGGGGAGCCGCTTCCCTGCGCGAGCGGGGTGTGTTAGGAAGGGAGCAGGGGCTGGGCCCGGCCGGGGCATTCCTGCCCGCGCAAGCCGGGCTGACGATCCCGGGAGACGCTAAGGGGGGAGCCGTTATGCAACAGGCAGCTAGCGGGGCTTTTTGGCAAGAATTGGAGGAGTAGGAGGATAAGAAAACAGATGCAAGCAAAGGGGGAGCCTCGGAGGTGATGGCTAGAAGTTTACGTGAATGCAGAAGGCATGGACAAGGTAGGGAGGGGACTGTCAAGATGGTTGAAGGGGAGGGATGGTGCGACGCCGCTGGGCGCAGTGCTCTGCTCTGTTTTGAAGTAGTTTCAGGGAAATTTTTCTGTATGTAAACTAGGTGTTCTGGAGGTGGAATGGGATTCCTCTAGAGTTCGAAAAGAGGAATCGGCAGGATTTAAAATTTGACAAGGGAAGTGCGAGGGAAAAGCAAATTGAGAAGATTTGATGTGTTTCAAAAATAGTGTGTAAAACAATGAGAACGCGCGATGTTAGAAAACACGTGAATAGTTGTTAGCTGAGATTGTTGAGCAATATTTTATTAAGATTATTGGTGGACATCACAAAGATGGAAACAAAAAATTTGTGAATTTAACAGACCGACCGAATCTATGAAATATCAAACCAGGATTCTGTAAAATGTAAAAATTTTTTGTGTGTGCTGTTAACCTCACACTCTTAACTTTTTATTTATCTCAAACTTCTTTATAAACCTTCTTCCTGTTGAAATTTATTTAACAACTATATGGGATATAATTGCCCATATGTTTAAAATGACAGCTATAAATATCTAAATTGTGAATACATTTAATAAAAGTTCAGCTGCCTTGGCTTATCAGAAAATGGCACCCAGGCGTGGTGGCGCACGCCTGTAATCTTAGCACTCTGGAGGCTGAGGCAGGAAGATTACTCCAGTTGGAGGCCAGCCAGGACTACCTATCGAGACCCTGTCTCAGAACAAACGAAGAAACAGAGTTGGCAGGTGTGAGATATGTTCATTCTTTCTGGCCTAAAGGATAAATAAACAGTTTTGGCTTTTTTTTGGTGGTGGTGGTGGGGAAAGTGAGTGGTGGGGGAGAAGTGATTAAGAAATAAGGGCTTTTATTGAAGACAATTTTGCAGAGATTGTCTGAAGTTCGAATCAGCGGACTATTTTTAGATTCCAGTGATTGATCTTAGCGTAGTGAGAAGCGAATCCAGAGCTTTTGCATGCCTCGCAAGTGTTCTACCCCTAAGCTACATCCCCAGCCCTATTTTTATTTTTGGAACAGGATTTTGCTAAGTTGCCAAATTGGCTTCAAGCTTGTGGTTCTTCTGCCTCAGCCTCTTAAGTAGCTAGGGTTACAGGCCTGTGACAACTGAGCCTTTGTTTTAGAATTTTGAATGCAAAACATCTACCGAGAGCATTTCACATTCTAATAGAAGTCACTAAGTATGAAGAGTCGCTTTTCCAGACCAGTTTTCACTATGTGTGTTTAGAGGTAATGTAGGTTGATGTTTGATAGTCTACCACCTGTGAACTGCTCAGAGCCTTCACGTTTCTCTTTTTAACGAGTTGAAAGTGTAATACTGAAGCAGTGGATGTTCAATTTATGGCTTATTCTAAAAAGTTTTACTTTCTAGAAATATTTTCCCCCCAGTACGGGGGATAGAGTCCAGGGTCTTTGCAATGAACTACGTCCTCAGCCCTTTTAATTTTTATTTTAACTTTGAGGCACAATCTCACTAAATTGTTTAATAACTCAATCTAGGCTTGAATTTGCAGTCCTCCTGCCTCAGCCTTCCAGAGTGCTGGGGTTACTGGAATCCACCAACAGGCCCAGCTTCTACAAAGATCTTTCACTGTGTGTGTGTGTGTGTGTATGTGTGTGTGTGTGTGTGTTTTGAGACAGTGTCTCATGTAGCCCAGGCTGTCCTTGAACTGGCAGTCCTCCCGCCTCAGCCTCCTCCAGTGCTGTGATTACAGGCATGCACCACCACACCTGGCTAGTTCTTTCAATCTTAAACATACCGTTCTTTCACTTGTTTAATGTGAGAGGTGATTATAATTCTGTCCCCTTTTAAATAAGTTTGTTATAATAGCTTTTATATAAAAGTAAGGGAGAAAATAAAGTGTTTGCAATGTAGTAATTCCAGTGGAATTTTGATTCTGAAAGCTGAAGGCAACTCAGAGGACAGTGGTCTGCAGTGCTGGCTGCTAAGAAGGCCTTTGTAGCAGTTGGGTGGTGAGTTAGGCCCTGGAGCAAGACATTCCTGAGAAGGAAACACTAGGCCAGTAATAGCTAATCAGTACATCTAGGTGTTCTTTCTGCTGTGCTGGGGTTTGAACTTAGGGCACTGAATGTACTAGGCAAGCTCTGTGCAACTGAACTATGTCCCAAGCTCATTAATTTTTTATTTTGAGGCAGGGTCTTGCTAAATTTTTCAGCCTGGCCTTGAATTTGCAATTCTCCTTCAGACTTCTAAGTAGCTGAGATTACAGGTATATGCTACCACTCTCTGTTAATCACTCCATCTTCATTGTCCTTATACAACTTTGCTTTGCTTATTCTTCAGGCCTTTTAACTGCCCATTGATTAGTTTCAGGAGAGTAATATCTGCTAAAGTTCTAATTTAGCAGTTTGCCTTCATAGGATAATATATATCATATGTAGGAAAGAAATACTCTGACGTAAAGGGTGACCAACAGCATATATGTTTTGCAAAAATTAAATTCCTTAACAAATGACTGTTAAAAACTTCATTAAATAAAAATATAATA